GATGCATGGAGACAGAAGCCAGATTGAACAGATGGTGGCAAGGATGAGAAGTGAGACCAGAAAGCAACATTCAGGACATTTTGAAGGGGCCCAGCAGCAACGAAGAAGAGGGAGATGAGGCTCTAAGCAGAAGCTGTTGTGGAGTAGAGGGAGTGATTTTTTCTTAAATGAGAGAGATTTAAATGCGGATGGAACTAAGCCACTAATGAAGGTGAGGGTGACAACATGGAAGAGAGAGGGAAACAATTGATGGGAATGCAAGTGCCCAGGTAGAGGAAATAACCTGAGACAGGGAGAGGGAGGCAGGCAAGTGTGGGTGTGGGCACACAGGAGGCTGTATTAGGACATGACATTGAAGGTGTTTGCTGTAATGACTTCTATTTGCTGGGTGAAATGGGAGACAAGATTATCTGCTGAGAGCGAAGAGGAAAAAGACAGGATAACAGCCTTGAGGGAGGGCAGAATATTTGCAATAGTCATTTTGGAAAATGGCAGTCAGATCTACCAGGGAAAACGGTGTGGGATTACCAGCTAGCACAGAGGGCTCAAGAGAGATCAAAGGCCAGGAATTTGGGGTGCCACTTAGCTGTGATTTTATGTGAATTTCTCCAGCCTCATTCAGTGGGGCAGGAAAAGCACCAGAAACACTGGTAGTTGGTATTAATTCAAAGTTGAGGACAAGAAGGTCAAGGGAACAAGGAGTTAAAGGTGTTAAGAAGAGAATGATTAAATAAATGAACCATAATATCGAGGCTGGCTCCAGACAGAGTGAAGACTGGCAGGGCTAACAGGGAGGAAATATGAGACCCACAGAAATGCAGAGGCTCAAAGAACAGCGATTTTGGAGTAAGAGGTAGAGATCTGGGATGATAAAAGTTTGTAAAGATTTACTTTAAGATTTTAGAGGTGGGAGAAGTTCTAGATGATTAGAAAGTCGTGATGTGACCATGTGTCATAGACATGCATGCATGTGTGTGTCTGTCTAGCTTCTCTTCTTTTGGAGAACTTTCCCTCTGTCATTACATGTGATCCTGGTTGAACAGATAATCCTAGAGTCTCATCCCACCCCAACTCACTGGCGGGGTTGGCATGGGATGCAGGCTGAGTTCATCCCCCTGGCTACAGTGATTGGTACCCAAGGATTGGTACCCGAGGATGGGTACCCAATCAAGAAGAGATGCTCAGGCTCTCCTCTGAGATGTCTTATACGGGTGCTTGGAGACAAAGAGGCCCTTTTTCTTAGCTCCTGAGTTGTAACGACCATGCAACTGCTTGTGCCCATCATTCCTAGTGGCCTAGAGAAACCCACCTGCAGAAGGAGAAACTGAAGCCAGCATACGAAGACAAGCAAAATCAAGCTGAGATGAGAGATGGAGAAAAGCAAAAAGAATCCAGACAAGTTTGAATTCCTGGATCTAGCCAAGCTGAAGCTAGTCTACCAGTGAATCTTTCAAATGAGCCTAAAAAATTCTCCTTTGGCTTAACGTGGTCTAAATGGGATTACCATAACCTGCAATCTAGGGTGTGAGTGGCTGAAACAAAAGGAGATAAAGGTATGAGAGCTGAGAAGGCCAAGGAACTAAAGAAATTACGTTGTGTGGGTTGGCCTCATGGGGAATAAAGTCCTCTGAGGTAAAGGTAGCACTGCTTCAGACAATAGGGAAGACACCTATGAACCACTTGCTGAAGTCTTAATAGGGAGAACAGACAGCTTGTTAGTAAATAACCACAACGAGGACCAGAAGAAAGTTACATGTATACATCACTTAGCAAGAGCCTCAAAAGAGTGATGGCTTTTATTTAAAGGCAAAGGAATAACGGTATAAAAGCCACATGGGGAAAGAGAAGCGTAGAGACCCCACTTGCTAACGAGAAGCTAAGTGGAGTAGGCAATAATGTGGAAATAATCGCTAGCGCATAAAGTGGGCGGAGCCTTCCAGGCCAAGGGTTATATAACCATGAAATGCTTCCCCAGGGAAAATCAGCTCCACTTCTAAGTTCTAAGTCTTATTCCAATACCAATAATTAAAACTTCCTTAACATTTCTTCAGCCCGCCACCCCTGGACCTCGAATCACTTGCTGTTCATTTGTAAAACCGACAATAAGGTAAAATTGAAAATTTAGATAGCTGGAGCTTAAATATTTTTTTCCTAATTGAGAGATTTTACCCATGTATTTAGTTGTCTCAGACTATGGCCAGAATAATAACCTCAGTAGCAATTATCACTCAAGTTTATTTGGTAGAAGAGTTAGTATTAAATATTTTAATGCCTTATGTAAAAATCACATCAATCTAATGAATTTTATTGGACAATATAAAATATACATGATATTATAGAAGAAGAACATCTAACATAAAAATTCAGAGCTGGCCTGCCAACTCTCAAATGAATGCCACAGAGGAAAATCCAACAACCAGCTGGCGTTTTAACAAGGAGGAAATGGCTTTATTAAAGGATTCCCAATTTTTCAAATGACAAATAATTAATGTTGCACATAGACTATATACATGTACAGAATTTGTTTTTCTCATTTCATATACCCTTTCCACTAGAAGTCCCTAAGGATTATATTCAGACATTTTAAATCTTTCTGCATGTGTTAAAGATTATTGTATATACACTTAGGTCATACAGTAGTGATGTTATATAAACATATATTTGGATAAATAGAATGTAGTTTCGTGTAATGTAGAGAAAGTATGGCACTAACCACTATGGACCATTTTTAGTCTTTTACATGAATCCCGATGTATGATTAATGATAATAAGTCAAAAATGAAAAAAATAACATTAATAATATACTTTATTTTTAAAACATTATTTAAAATATCTTGACATAGCATAGAAAATAAATTTACAGAGAAAATAAATCATTTATTAAAGACTGTATTCGGGAAATGAAAACAGAATGTACACAAACAATCCCCCCGATAGAAACGCACGCACCTGTGGCTGCACTGTTCCTGGGCAGAGCAGGGCACTCAGCTCGGAGAGCCTCTAGACACCCAGGGAAGTCTTGTTCTCCACCCAGAGTGACTTCGGGTTCAAAGCAGCAGCCACTGAATCTTTGGGACATGTGGGTGCCCCCAGAGATTGCAGGTCTACCCCAGAGAACGCTCAAGGCTGCCTCTCCTGCCTCTGGCCAGTCCAGCCTGTGTCTGAAGCCAGAGACACATAGGTGTGTTTACTCACTCAGGAAACTCCTCTATGCTCTCCTTGCACATGAAGGAGAAAGCCAGGCAGGGATGACCACCCCCCAGGCAAATCTCATCGCTCCTCCTCTGTGCGGTCTGTCTGCCATCCAACTGTAAGTGTCAAACTCGTTTGCTTTCTTTTAGATTTTCACTTTCTCTCTTTTTTTTTCCCATAGTCCATATGTTTATTAGATAGTAGTTTTCTTTAAAGATCTTCACTTTTTTCCTCCATTTTGTTGCTTTTTTTGTGTGTAGCACTATGGATTCTTGGATTTTTCATTATTTAAAGTATAACAAGCAGTGCATTTATCAAACTTAAAAAATTAAAAATAATTTTTAATATCGTCTAGTTTTGAGTCCACATTCAAATTTACCCAATTGTTGCAAGAATATTTTATTCTTTTTAAAAATCCAAACCAAGATCCAATCTGGTTTCAACCTAAGTTTTAATTGCAATTGATTCGGGTTTTTTTTGTTGTTTTTTTTTTAAGACAGAGTCTCACTCTTTTGCCCGGTCTAGAGTGAGTGCCGTGGCATCAGCCTAGCTCACAGCAACCTCAAACTCCTGGGCTCACGCGATCCTCCTGCCTCAGCCTCCCGACTGGGACTACAGGCATGCGCCACCATGCCTTGCTAATTTTTTTCTATATATTTTTAGTTGTCCAATTAATTTCTTTCTGTTTTTAGTAGAGACGGGGTCTCGCTCTTGCTCAGGCTGGTCTCGAACTCCTGAGCTCAAACAATCTGCCCGCCCGGCCTCCCAGAGAGCTAGGATTACAGGCATGAGCCACCGCGCCCGGCCAAATTGCAATTGATTCTTTAATCTCTTTTAGTCTAGAAGAAAGAAGCCAATGTTTTGTTTATAACATTGACTTTTTGATGACTCATGAACAGTTTGTTGTATGTTTTTCATTTTCTCTTAATGTTTGGGTACGCTAGATCTATTTTTTTCCCCTTTCATTTAATTAGACACTAGTGCTTCTATCAGGGACAATAAAAAATACATTTTAAATGGTAGAAATTAGATATATTGTCCCAAAAAGTAACACATTTTTCTCAGTGAAGTTAAGAATATGGTTTCCTGAAAAATATTTGTAAAATAGAAATCTAAAAAGAAGGAAAGAAGTGGTAACAATTTACAATAAAATCCTGATCTTGGAAAAGTACCCTTGCTGTGAGTGCATTTGCTATACTGGTGAGTAAGACCGAATGGTATTTCTTCATCTCGTAGGGCTGGATTCACATTAAAGCTTTCGTTTTTAAAAGACTGAGACGAGCCCTGTTCAAACACTAAAAATTACCACCAGATGCAATCTGATACCAATATTTAAAACAGCTAAGTTTCTTACAGGACCTCAGACCTATGCGTGTTTTACTGAAGTAAATTAGGTACATTGCTTTTTAAAGCAATCATATAGGTTACACTTATGATAAATCTGTCACTTTGGGACTTTAACTACTGATTGGGGGGATGTTTTCCTTCCTCTATGCGGGCAGTTTCTGCCAGCATCACAGAGATTCCGGAGAGATGAGACTGTGAAGTAGCAGAGAGGCAGGGCCTTTGATGCAGAGCTCACTGCACCCACCACTCACCAACTGCGACCTTGGGTAGGTAACACCGTCTTTAGCCCCAGAGAGATTGTAAAATAAAAACATTAAAACTTCTCCACATGGTTATTATGAGAACTAAATTGGCTAGTCAAGCCCCTGACTCATAGTAGATACCCCATAAATGTTAGTTCCTTACTCCCACTTCCCAATCTAAATAATGTAATCCGGTGGAAGTCTTCTGGGTCCTAAAGTGCTAGTAAATGAAATAATAGGTGTTTTTAGTATTTATCCAAGCCTAGCACTTTTGAGATCCTTTTTTGCCAATGATGCATTTTCGCTATATCATCAAAGTATACAATATTCACACGCTGATCAAATTTCAGACACATGGGGAACTCATGAAATTGGGAATTGTGTCCCATCTCTTAGTGCCACCTCCCTCAAGAGATGCGGGGTTCAATGAAGAAGTTGTAAGTGGCCTTGTGGGTACTTGTCTTGCCCAGGAGTCATATCTTTGCAGCAGGCACAGGTGACAAAGTGATGCTGATGTGAATGGATCAGTTTTTCAAGACACTTGATGATTTCATAGTCAGGAAGAGCAAGATTGGTCACATTCAGGCCTAGCATCTGGGACACGACCTCCCTGAAGTCCACCAGCTGCAAGATCAAACAGAAACACATAACTGGGAGAACAAAACGTATCAACTCAACTACTGCTGAGCCAAATGCAACAACAGCAACAGCAACAAACCTGTGGAAAACCCAGATTTTCATGAGGTAGGCAAATTATCTAACCTCTTCAGCCTTAGTTCTCTCCATTATAAAATACCAAATTCTAAGTCCCGTCAGGTGCCAACCTTCAGAGATTTCATAACCACTTTTCTGATGAGCCCATTAATGTGGTATTGACTACCAAGTGAAGAATCCTGGTCAAGAAACCACGAATGAGACTCTGACCCCACTAAGACTCCATTTTCTCATTTCCAGGGTGGGACTCACAATATACCTACCTCAGAGGGCTGTTCTGAAATTTGGATCAAATGAAATGATGACAATACATGTGTTGTGCATATTAAGAAGTGCTATACACACGTTGTTGTGGTTTTGTCAATGGAAAATAAGTACTTACACATTGGAATTTTAGCTGAGTGATAACCTCTTCAACTAAAAAAAGAACAAATGGCAAGAAAGTATGAGCAGATAAAAGCAGTAGGACTTCCAAACTACTATGAAAGCACGTCACACAGACTTCTGCTTCACAAGCTGTAACAGTGGACTGCTCTGGGACTACTATTTGTCAATCAGAAAAAGAAAAATGGGGGAATGGGGAGCATGGTTGACTACAGCTCACACCCCTTCGAACTCTCATGGCTGGTTTCTGTGGCTCTAGGCCAGTGCAGAAGCAGATAAATCAGGGATATCCGGCCACCTCACTAAAGGTACGCTCCATTTTTGAAAACAGGTGATTCAACTTGAAGACAGAGTTATGCCCAGGAGAAAACCATCCAAACATTCCTACTCCATGCTCATTTGCTTCCCAAACTCCTTCCCATGCAGAGTCCAATTTGGGAACTGTGACATTCTCTCCAGCTGTGGTCCGAATCTTTGCGCCCTCTCAAAATTCTTATGTTGAAACTTAATCACCGATGTGATGATGTTAGGAGGTGAGATATTGAGGGGAATAATTAGATCCTGAGAGTGGAACCCTCATGAATGGGATGAGCGCCCTTTTAAAAGAGGCCACAGAGAGCTTGTCCCTCCCATCATGTGAGGACATAGCAAGAAGGTGCTGACTCTGAACCAGGAAGCTGTCCTCACCAGACACCTTGATCTTGGACTTCCCAGCCTCCAGAACTGTGAGAAATAAATTTCATTCGTTTCTAAGCCACCCTGTCTGTGGTATTTTGTTTTAGCAGCTTGAATGGACTAAGACACCAACCTAGTCCCCCTAATGAAAATGTTTCCCTCAAATTTTTCCGCCTTTTCAAATGTGGCCAGAGCTCTTAATTCCTGAGAGATTTTCTTTCTGAGAACACTCACTCTTATGGTTTGGCTTTCCCCAACTCTGTCTGACACATGAGCCAAAGCAGAGGCAACCAAAGGGGGAAAAAAATCCTAGGATCAGAGTCTACTCTATGCCCTTTTGAGCTTTAGAAAGAGAGTGAGATGAAAGCCAAAGCAATGGAGGTCAGGCTGCCCGGTACATGTTTCTTTATGTCTGATCTCCTGATGGACACGCCAGATAAAATGCTCTTCCTTGCAACCAGTGAGCAAATAAGTACTTTTTTATGGCTTACATCTGTGCTTGGTTGGCTATCAAGTCTGGGTGCCACTGTTGGAGATTCGGAGCTGTTTCCTGCAACTGATCCTGCTAGAGATAAAGATTCCTTCTTAAGGCCAAAACCCGAGTTAATGTTAAAAGATCTGGGATGACGCAAACTTCAGAGGCAATCACTGAACATAACAAAAACCCCGCCACAACCAGAACCTGGTTTTTCACCAGCTTTCCACTGCCTTGATAAGACTGTCTATTTCTTTCCTAAAATTTGTGCCATGAAAATGTGAAGAGTTTCCCTGAGTGGGGTAAATCATAATGGCTACTCAAATGCCAAAAAGATGCTGGAATGTGGACAGATATGTTGAAATGACATAGAAAGCTTTAGAAATTGTTTCTGAAGACATGCATGGCTGGTGCTCGATCCAGGAGCACGAATACTAAAACTGGAACGATACAGAGAAGAGCACGGCCCCTGTGAAAGAACGACGTGGAAACTCACAAAGAGTTCCACATTTAAAAATTAAAAAAAAGGAAATGCATGAATAATTACCAAGCTTTTGAATTGTCCTATCATTTTCTAAACAAGAAGATGTCACCACCAGATTTATACACACCCGCTTTTCTCTCTTTTCTGCTTCTTCCAGAAATTTCTTTAGTGTCTTCATTTCACTGGTTACCACCTCTATCATGTTTCGGGCCCTTTCTTTATCCTCTTTCGCCTCATGTTCTGTAGTATCCAATTCTAACTTGACAGATTTTAGCTTTTTCTCAGCCTTCTCCTTCATTTTCTCCAGCTTGTCTCTGGATTTACTTAGGTCTTCAATGGCTTTGGTCTGTTCCAAAGTTTTAATCTAAGAAGTGAAGAGAATGCTGAAAAATTTTTTTTGTATTTATTTAGCAAAATTATATAAGCAAGGCAAATCAGAAGTCAATAGAATTCACTGCATAACTTTTTATGAATAAAGAACAGAAAACATGTCTTAAGACAGTTGTGGTTTATAAACAACATAGCGGAGTACTGTCATTTGGAGAATCAATGAGATACAATTGTAGACAGCATGACTCTGGAGTTAGATGTTAAGATTAAGCCTGCTGGTATGTACGCACACACTCTTAAGTGCTCCATCAGCAAAAGCAACTTGCATTTTCTGCCCCTACCAATGGGCCATCCCCACAATGTAAACATTAGGAAGAGTGAGATGTCTCCCCTTCTCATGAAGCATCCCAGGAGAGCCCCACCTAAAATCCCCTCAGCAAATCTTCATGACTGCTGTGAGGAAAATATAGATTGGCAGTTTTTCAGAGGAAGTGTCTGAAGGTGGCGACTGTGTTCCACAGCAAACAAAGAAGCGGAGGGTGGTACCTGCCTCTAAGATGCTGTACCAGGATCTTTTTTGCTGGTTTGTGGGTTGTTTTTTTTTTTTTGACAGAGTCTCGCTCTGTCACCCAAGCTTGAGTGCAGTGACGTCATTATAGCTCAGAGCAATCTCAAACTCCTGGGCTCAAGCGATCCTCCTGCCTCAGCCTCCCAAAGTGCTGAGATTACAGGCGTGAGCCATTGTGCTCGGCCTGTCCCAAGATCTTAAAACCAAAACACGGAGGATCCTGTGGTGTGTGGTACTTTTTCTTCATTAGCTTATTATTTAAGATTATACCAGAGCCGCTTGCAAAAATAATTTAAGTAAAAAAAAGGAACGAAATTCTGACACATACTACAACATGGATGAGCTTTGAAGACATGCTAAATGAAATAAGACCCAAAAGAACAAATATTGTATATTTCCACTTACACAAGGTACCTAGAAGAGGTTAACCCCTACAGATAACATGTAGGAAAGAAGTCACCAGAAGCTGTGGAAAAGGAGGAATGGGAGCTATTGTTTGATGGATACAGAGGTTCAGTTTGAGATGATGAGATAATTCTAGAAATGGATAGTGCTGATGGTTGCACAACATTGTAAATATACCTAATGCTACTCAATTGCACACTTAATGATGGTTAAAATGATAAATATTATGCTATGTTTCTTTTACCACAACATAAAAAAAGAATTTGAAGCAGCTTCACACAGACACAAATTTTTAATGATTATTTTAAAAAATACAAATGAGTTACCACTCAATATCCACGAGAATGGCTAAAATAAAAAAGACAGACAATCACAAATGCTAGCAAGGATGTGGAGAAACCGGGACTCACACGCTGGTGATGTGGATGCAGTGCTGCAGCTGCCGTGGGAAACAGTTTGCCCGTTTTCGAAATGTTAAACAGAGTTACCATGTGGCCCAGCAATTTCATTCCCAGACATATGGCGAAGAGAATTTAAAATTTATGTCTACACAAAATCTTGTACCCAAATGTTCAGAGAAGCATGATTCATAAACACCAAAAACTGGGAACAATCCAAATGCCCATCAACCAATGGATGAAAAAACAAAATTCTAAACCCCAAGGTGATGATATTAAGAAACGGAGCCTTTGGAAGGTGATTAGCTCATGAGGGCAGTGCCTTCATGAATGGTATTAGCATCCTTATGAAAGATGCCCCAGAGAGCTACCTTGCCTTCTCTACCATGTGAGGACACAACAAGAAGGTGCCATCTGTGGACCAGGAAGCAGGACTTCGCCAGACATCGAATCTGCTGGAACCTTTATCTTGGGTTTCCCAGACTCCAGAACAGTGAGAAATAAATTTCTGTTGTCTATAAGCCATCCAGTTTGTGGCATTTTGTTGTAGCTCCCTTAATAGACTAAGACAGGGGTGAGGAACCTGCAGCCTGAAGGCCACACGTGGCCTTCTAGGTCCTTAAATGCAGCCTTTTGACTGAATCCAGATTTTGCAGAACAAATCCTTTTGTTTTCATCAATACTTTTTTTGTTCATCTTTTATATTTTTATTTTATTTCCAAAATGAACATACTTAAAATACCAAAGAATAAAATAAGTTTCAATGAAATAATCCTCCCATATTGACCAGCAGTATTAGAACATTAGTAAGCCATAAGGGCTAAATTGACAGCTGCTACACTCGCGATTCAGTTCTAACTGCCCCCCTCCCTGACTGTTGCCACTACTGCATGAGGCTGGTTGGCAAGAATTTATGGGGATCGAGTACATCAGTCTGTTATCAGCTTTTGACTATGGTGCACTGTGCTTCTGTTCGAAGTGGAATTTGTGAACAGTTACACAGCTTGACAGTATTTTTTAATTCTGTCTGCCTAACAGCCCATCATGTCAAAGAAGACCAAGAGAACGCTGAAGGAAGAAAACAGATTTTTTAAGGAGGATTGGGAATTGTAATACTATCTTGTTTCTGCTAAAGATAAGATGATTTGCTTGCTTTGTGTTACTGCAATATCAACATCAAAGAATCAATGCTCATCAGCATTATAACACTCATAAAGACCACAGATATTTTAAATTAGAGGAAGGGGTGCAAAAGTTTGTATTGCAGAAATTAAAAGATGAAAAGCAAAGACAATTCTTTCAAGCAGCAATAAGACCTGGAAATAATGCCACTGAAGCAACCTATAAAATAGCTTATATACTCGGGGAAAAAGGGAAGGCATTCAATGATGCAGAAATTGTGAAAGAATGCATTGTCAAAGCCGTAGGATGCTTAGGTCCCAACAACATTTCAAAGTACAAACAACTGTCTCTTTCAAGGAGAACCATAACTGATCAGCAGCATGAATTAGCCTTCAACTCAATAGAACAACTTCATGCCATACTTCAAAAGGAAAATACATATTATTCAACTGCACTGGATGAGTCAACTAATACTACTGACTCGGCGCAGGTTTTATACTTCATTCAGGTCATAACAGAAGATTTTCTTTGCTATGACAAGTTATTCACTTTGGGCACTCTTGTGAACAGAAAACAGGGAATAGATATCTTCAACAACTTTCAGGATAAATGTTGTCAAGCTGGACTGAATTTGGTAAATTTAGTGAGTGTACATACAGACAGTGCACTTCCATGACAGGAAAACATGAAGGGTTTATTGCACAGATTTTAAAAAGTATTAACAGCTCCAGATGCTCTCATTTCTTTTCATTGTATCTTGCATCAGTAAAATCTCTGTGCTAAAGCTACTATTTTAAGTGACACTTTGCAACAAGTTATTAATATAAGTGTTGTTAACTACTATATATATTTATGCAAATGCAGCACAGCATCATCAGTTTCGTAAAATGCTGAAGTTGAATGATGAGGTATTCAGTGTGGATTTGCCATATCATTCTAAAGTGCCTTGGCTGTCACAGGGACAGACGTTAGCCAAAATTTTATCTCTGCAAGAACAGATAGTTAAATTCTATGAAGAACAGAATCAGCAATGTGAATTATTGAAAGAAGATTTCTATAGGAATTCAGTATTTCTGTGCGATATCATGTCAAATCAAGACAACTTGAATATTTCTTTGCAATGTAAAACTAAGTCTATATACGATATGTGGCAAAAAAAAAAACACAAGCATTTCAAAAGAAGCTATCTTTTTTCAAAACACTTCTTCAACAGGCAATATCACATGAATATTTTCCCCAGCCAGCAATTGTCATTGATGAGCAGGACGATATATGTGACTCATTTGGAGAATATATAGCTGTTATAGACTTGTTAATTGGAGAATACAATAAAAATTTCACTCACCTTGAGAATCATGACATCACATTCAAATTAGCATTTCAGCCTCACCTAGTTGATATTACCAAGGCACCTAAAGAACTTACAGATGGAATTAATTGAGCTTTCGGTAGATGACATTTTAAAGTCATGTTTGATGCTAAGAAAGATCCAGTTGAAACATGCAAAAATGCAGTAGAATACCCACACTTGAGGCAATATGCCTGAAAAAATGCTGTCTTGCTTTTCCACCACTTATTGCTGTGAATCTACATTCTCCTACCTAACCCAAATGAAGACTCCCTTAAGGTTACAAATGACTGATACCCATCTAGAGAATCAACTGAAACTGTGGACCTCCATGCTGCAACCAAATATTCAAATGCTTTCCAACAAAAAAACAGACACAACAAGGTCATTGAAAGGTTAGTTAACTTTAAAATTAACAGTTTTCATTTTTTGAAACTATTAGTACCTAGTAATTAGATTTTTACAAAATAATGTACATTTATAACTTCTCATTGAAGTTTCTTGAATGCAGCGTTATTTGATTACAGCTGAATTAATGGGGCCTTCCAACATAAAAAGGTTCTCCGCCCCTGGACTAAGACATCTTTCTCCTCTAGAGAGGAGGCTGACGCAGACATGCTTAGTTAGAGAGGTTCATTGAACTGGCTGCATCCAGAGGAGACAAAATCCTTTGGGTAAACTGACAGCCGCTGTGGGACTTACAATCACTATTTGCATGCTATACATCTGATAAATGGCTGATAACTAGAATCTATATAGAACTTAGGAAAATCACCAAGGAAAAAATCAAACAACCCCATTAAAAAGTGGGCAAAGGACATGAACAGAAACTTTTCAAAAGAAGATAGACTAATGGCCAACAAACATATGAAAAAATGCTCAACATCTCTAATCATCAGGGAAATGCAAATCAAAACCACAATGAGATATCACTTAACTCCAGTGAGAATGCCTTTTATCAAAAAGTCCCAAAACAGCAAATATTGGCATGGGTGCAAAGAGATAGGAACACTCATACATTGCTGGTGAGACTGCAAACTAGTGCAACCTCTATGGAAAGTAGTATGGAGATACCTCAAAGAACTAAAAATAGAACTACTGTTTGATCCATCAATCCCACTACTGGGTATCTACCCAAAGGGAAAAAAAGACATTCTATAAAAAAAGACATCTGCACTAGAATGTTTATAGCA